TCTACTTCTACTACTCCTACTGCTACTCCTACTCCCACTCCTACTCCTCCTACTCCTCCCCCTGCTCCTACTCCAACTCCAACTCCTGCTCCTACTGCTACTGCTACTGCTACTGCTACTGCCACTGCTACTACTGCTACTGCTACTACTGCTACTGCTACTACTGCTGCTGCTACTACTGCTTCTGCTTCTGCTTCTGCTTCTATGCTGCTGTCACTGCTATGCTGGCAAGTTTGTGATCATTGCATTTCAGACTTCCGAGGACACCAAGTCATGCGATCATAGTTTGCCATTTTCAATAACACCAACAGCGCCTGCAGTGTCTGATTTCTAACCATCATAAACCCTCAGCATGTGGGTAGTTCTCTAAATTAGGGCCCCTTTTAAAATTCCAAATATAGTACGGCACCCTTATAATAAGGGCCCCTAAAAAAACCCTAATTTAGAGAACTACCCATGTCATTTTTTTGTGTCAAGGCTTGGTCAACTACGGGCTCGGCTTCAACAGTCGCACCACGAGAAGGAGCAAGAGCTCCAGCCTCAGAGTTCTTTAAGGGTTTAGGGTTTAGGGTTTAGGGTTTAGGGTTTAGGGGTTTAGGGTTTAGGGGTTTAGGGTTTAGGGTTTGGGGTTGAGGGTTGAGAGTTTAAGGTTTACTCATACACTAAAAATACATACGCAGCGCATATGTACGCGCATATATGTAGCGCTCCTTCTTTCTTTGTGGGCTAGTGTCCAGAGGACACACCTCTTGAATCAAGGGTGAAACGAAAAAGGAAGCGACAAGTGCACAGTGTGTGTGCGTATATATATACATATATGTATATATATATATACACGCACTGTGCATATGTGAGATCCATATTATATATATATATATGCGTGTATATATATATATATGTATATGTATATGTATATGTATATACCTGTACACATACATGCATACATACATACGTACATACATGCATACATACATACATACATACATACATACATACATACATACGTACATGCATACACACACACACACATATATATATATATATATATATACACAAGTACGCACATACATATATATATATATATATACACATGCGCTGCTATAGTAATTTATGACGCTGGTTCCGGATACTCCAGAGAGTTTAGAGCAGTCGATTTTGTGGTTCAGGTTGAGGCTTGGATGCGAAGCAGGCAAACACGTGCTACTGATTGACGTTGGGCACTGTCGGTGGGTCCCAGGATCTCGCTCAAATTTCAGGGTGCACCTCTCCCGATTTACATACGGTGGTGTGTTCGGCCATCGCCCCGTGACGCCGCCAAGACTCCCTTTCCAAACAGGCTCCTTCGGAACCGGAAGTTGGAGGTTTACCACCCCCTTGCATGTATTTACATGTATACACGTACACACAGTTTGATGCTTCTTTGTGTGAAAACACGTTGTATCGGCGGTTACCTACGGCTTGCTGGTTCAAGAATGACCATACAGTGAACCTCAATGCTGCATGAAGCTTGTGCAAAATTGTTCATGCTTGCTATGAAAACGTAATCTTGTTCAACCGACCAAGCAAGTTTGCCCCACGGCTTTTGAATCGCGAACACCGAAAGAATCTGGAATGCAGGAGATGCGTTCAACCAACACTAGCCTTAAACTATGGAAATTCGGTTTCAATCTCGAAGCCTTGCTGCTCGATGTCTTTGACCCTGTGCATATTCAGCCTACCCCAACATCTACTTTAAAGGAGGAACCCTAAACCCTAAACCCTAAACCCTAAACCCTACCCCAACATCTACTTTAAAGGAGGAACCCGTGGATCGAAAGGCTTCGCCGACAGCTCGGCGAGCAAAAGGAGGCCGAAGACCTCCTGGCACATGTCACAGAGGTGGGCGTGTTTGGGTTTAGGGTTTAGGGGTTTAGGGTTTAGGGTTTAGGGTTTAGGGGTTTAGGCCGAATTAAAGGCTTGAGGGGTGTAGGTTTGAGGGCTTTGGGTCTGTGTCCCTGTGTCTTTGTGTCTCAGTGTTTGTGCTTGTGTCTCTGTTCGGATTGAGGACTTAAGGCAGACTTTGCGAAATCAGGAAGTGCTTGTCTGAAACAGCCGCTCATGCAAGGACGGGGGTTTCTGGTGAATGTTTGAAGTGCCTTAGTTATGCTTGTATGCTGGAGTCCAAATTCGCCACGTGAGGGCAGTGGGAAAATTCTTTCATATGCCACAGCCTGAAACTGAGCTTCCTGCAGAAAAGCTTGAAGTGCAGGACTTCCAGCAGCTCATGGCCATTGTGGCCAACTTGCGGCAAGCTGTCGAGAGTGGTACCAGGCAGGGCCTGTTCGGTTGAGAGAGGCTGCAAAAAGTTGCCGAAGCATTGTTGAAGACACGTGTGACAGGTTTAATACGCAACCAGGAGCATCCATGTCAATTACGACGGCCACCACCACCACGACCATCATTTCCACAACGATCCCCACAACTGCGCCCATCACCATCAAGACCACCACCAACCACGACAAACCACCACCTCCGCCCCAACCAACCGCCACCAGCACCACGACGATGGCAACCACCAGCAACCACCACGACCGACGACCAACGACGTTCGACCAACAACCAAAACCAACGACAGATGACCAAAGACCAAGGACCAGCCACGACCACCAACATCATGACCAGGAGGCACCACAACCAGCCCTTACCAATCCCAAACCCACACCTGATAAACTCTATAAAAGAGTAAATAATTATAAATCTACATATAAGTATAAATATAAGTATAGTTATATATATATATATGTACATACATAGATACATATGGATCTTTATAGACCCCTGCAGATGCCGCAAACTCTGACAGAAGGCCCGAGACTTTGCCGGGCCCTGACCGGCCAAAGCTTGTGCCAAAGCCGCCTTTCTGCTGGCAACCCAGCCAGGCGCGAGTTTAGGGTTTAGGGTTTAGGGTTTAGGGTTTAGGGTTTAGGGTTTTGGCTTAAGGCTTGAGAATATAGGATACAGGGTTTCGGAGTTTTGTTGAGGAATTTCGGCCTCGCCATTGCTTCAGCGAGTAATCCCAGGTTCTAGTCAATGTAATGTGCCATGTTTGGGTCCTTTAATTTCGATGTCAAAAAAGGGAACAGGGTTTGCAAGTTTTCCTGGCGTGGAATTTTCGCCCACCCCAGATGAGTGCTGAAGCTGCGAGTTTCAGAATCGAGGCGAAAGTAGCTGCTGTGTTGTTTGCAGAGACCCGAACTTACTCCAAAGCTGAAAGCAAAGTGCCAGGAATACGAGAAAGAGTTCCAGGTCACTGGCGAGCAACTTGCCAGAAGTGGATTGTGTTTAGGCCAATGCATTCGGGCGCTGCAGTAGCAGTCGCTGGGAGCATTTTTAAAGATTGTATATCGGGGCAGTGGCAAGAGACAATTTTGTGTGTGCGTGTATGTCCTTGTCTCTAAGGGCTGAGTGACAACAAAATAGAAGTGAAGCTGGGGGCATGGCGCTTTTGCTCCTAGCCATGCTCACAAAGCTATGGAATTTGAGTGGATGAAGTCACTGACGTGACTCAGTGCCTTGAGAGTTGCACCTGAATCCGGTATTGGATAGATGGTGGACTCGATTGTGTTTGCAAGTATCTTGCATCTAGTGCTGTGTTTACATGCCGGTCGTGAGATGCTGAGTGTTTGCAAGCGTTCTGCATGCAATGGTGTGCTTACATGTCGGTCGTGAGATACTGATTGCACCAGATGAGCCTTGAGACTTGTAATATGAACAGATAAATACCTCTGGACATAGTTAGGAGGTGCGGCAAACAAACAGAGCAGCTGAGTGTAGGGTAGCCTTGATCTTGACTCTACAATGACTCAACCGAAGCTCTTGACTCTCTTGGGCGTGAGCACATATGTTTTTGTATGTATGTATGTATGTATGTATGTATGTATGTATGTATGTATATGAAAAAAAGACAGCTTCATTGAGCATGGTTTTTTTGCTTCTGATCAAAAAGGTTAAATGAAACAAACAATGCTTATCAACAGTGGCGAAGAACATGCTAAAATTCCTTAAGACCAGCACAGCAGCACCTGCAGCGCAGCACAGCAGCGCGTCACAGCACAGCTGGTTTCAGCGCGGGCCACTGGGGCGCAAGGGGCGAAGTATGACTGCCACTTGGGCCGAGGAATCTGGAGGGTCAAAGCCGGCCCTTCCTGTGTTGTCGTTGGTTTGCTCTGTTGTTTTCGCTCTGGATGCAAAGGAGTACAACGGCAACGAAGCCTGCAAGTCACGCAAAAAGAGCATACCATTCTTCTCGAACCTTTTTGTACCCATTGTACCCTGGCCAGAGGCCATCCCATCATCCTCGCAACACGCGACGCCACAACCAGAACCTGACCTCCAATCTGCGAAAGGTCTGGCGATGCTGTTGTCATTGCTGACCCATTGCTACTTGTACTAGCACCATCAAGCACAGTTCTCTAAGACATTCTCTTAAGTTGTTCGGAATTCACAGTGACTCCTCTGTTATGTCGGTTCATGAAGCTGATTCTCGAAGTCGTCTTGCTGCACAGCACGCAAGCAACACCCAGGGCAGCAACAACCTGCACCCAGCCAGCAGCACTGAGGCCAGCAGCACGCAGGCCGTCATCAGTACCCAAGCCATCATTACACAGGCCAGAGTCACAAGGGCGATCATCGCGCAGGCCTTCATCACACAGGCCATCTTCACGCAGGACTTCATCACACAGGCCATCATCACGCAGGCCATCATCACAGGCCATCATCACACAGACCGTCATCACACAGGCCATCATCGCACGGGCCAGCATCATTGGTTCTTGCTGTGAAGACCCTCGACACATGCAAGAAACGTCCAACATGCGGGCCTTTTGCGTGATAGATACAGTTTTTGGCGGTTCCGATCGTGATTTGCGAGCATGAGTCGTTGAAATGGTGCCATGTCCGTTGATTGTTCATCGACGCGTGTGGGTTGATCCGTTGCAAACTCCCAGACTCCGAGTTCCGAAATTTCGAAAAGGACACCACCTAAGCCAAAGCTTTAGAATCCTGTAAGGTACAACGAGATCGTTACCAAAGTTGGCGACTTTGAAGATCAGGGCCTGGGCCTCTTTCGGATTGAGCTGGTTCGTTATGCAACGCCCATCGGAAGTATTGCAAGCCATGAGATCTGCTCATGAAGAAGTTTGGGAAATGCATTAGGCAATCTGATTGCCAGCGCTTCATAATGAAACTCCAAAAGCAAAAAACTACAAAGCCTTAAACCCCACGCCCGAACTTTGGCCGAGGCTGGGTGATTCCTGTCGGTGGCTCTTGGCGCTTGATGCGCGGTGGCCTTTATCATTGGACCATACGCATTGAGCCGCGTCCTCGAAGTTTCATGTGGGTTGTGACGCCAAGATCCCAGATCTTTGAGATGCGGGTTTGTCTGCATCTGGATAAAAAGTAGTCTTTTGTGTTTACTAACATCAACTCTCAACGATTTGTGTCACTCAAATATTCCTAAGTTCTGACGGCCTAGAGACCTGAACCGCAGAAGCAAGTTGGGGGATACGAGGGTTTAGGTTTCTGGGGATGAAGGCGTCGCACAGTGCCGCAATGCGACGCACTTCATACAATCAGCATACAATGCTTGTGGATTACATCGCCTCTGTTTAGCCAGTCAAGGCTACCACGTAGTGATATGGAGTTCCAATCGTGAGCAATAAGACTTCGTCACGTATTCAAGAAAAGCTTCATCGCGGTTGTGAAACAGTTGGCATCTAATCCAGCACATAAGTTCCAACACTAAACCTAGACCCTAAACCCGAAACCCTAATCCCTAACCCCTAAACCCTAAACCCTGGTAAACCCTAACCCTCCTCTGCATCCCCAAGCGCCACCACAGGCGAAAATGCACGAGTCGACCACAGCTCCAACTGGGCATCCATGGCTCCTGGGCCATGTTGTTCACAGGGTTTAGGGTTTCGGGTTTCAGCAGCCGGTGGTCCAGGCACTAGATTTATATCGAATTGTCCGGATTTGCGAGGCGTTCAGCACTTTTCTGGAAGCAGGTGTGGTTTTTAGAGGTTGAGGGGCCAGAGACGATTAACGAACCAATGTTTCTTGTGCTTCTGAATTGGGTTTAAGCCAGAACGCGTGGAGCAAATCGTCACCCGTAAAAGATCAGTGGGAGCACGAGCTCAACATTCGAAGCCTTCCTCAAGCCTGTTGGGGTTTGGGTCTCGAAGAAGCAGGCCTGGGTCCTGTTTTATGGATGGGACGCTTTCAGTTCTCGGTTGTTAAAAATACCTCAGAGTGGTACTCGTAATCGTGTCAGCTGTCAGAAGTCTGAACTTTCAGCTGGACGAATCAAACATCATCTTTAAAGTCAGGTTTTCTCCTGTGAAGTATCACTTGCAGCTTCGGGTGGTCGTGATGGATACCTCCCCCCAAGCCCCCTTTTATGGATCTAACTCAATAGAGCACCTAAGCATGTATACCAATAGTGCGCGGCTTCAGATAGGCCCCGAAATCCTAAACACTGAACCCTATATTTAAGCCCTAAACCCTAAACCCTAAACCCTAATATTGAAGGTGCCAACCATAATCAACCATGGCGTTTGGTCACTACATCCCGGTGCTCGTGGTCCCGAGATGCCGGGGGCACAGTTGACTTCGGGACGTGCAAGCTTGTTTTTTGTTGCTGAGGGTTTAGGGACGAGGGACTTCTGGGTTGGGTTCGTAAAACTTTGGAGCCTGCATCCTTCGTTTGGGTCTGGGTGTGAGGTCAGAGCGCCCATGTGCAGCAGATCTCACTGTGCAAAGATCACTCGTGACGTTCCAGCGTAAGCGCCGGGTTAGAGCGAAAGCAGGCTTCGCACTAGCAGCAGCAACCCTGATAACGATGAGTGCAACAGGAGCAATATTAGGAATAAGAGTAGCATCGAAACTTAGTTTGTGCACCCTGAAGGAATTTCGCAGTTTGAACCCATCCCTGCCCCGCTGACCCAGGATGAGCCATGGCAAGATCGTGCTGGGGGTGACAGGCAGGGTTCGGGTCGGCGGTTGAGGGGTTCGGGGTGCTGACGCTACTGAAGTTTGGAGAAGTAGATCTGGTGATATCATCCTGCATGGCAGCAAACAACAAGCAACTGCGACCTCAGCAACTGCAAGAATAGCAATAATGCAGTTATTACAAAAGCAGCAGCACCGTAATCTTACAAATGCTCAGCTCCCGCCTTTGCATGCTGCGACGACGACGACGACAACGGCAACGACGCCTCCTGCTGCTGCAGCTGCTGCTGCTCCTCGTTGCTGTAGCATTCATCACTGCTGATGTCAACATTGCAAAACCTGTGAGACTGGAATGAAAGTGCTGACGCTGAAGGTTAAAAGAAGCCAATGGGCTTGCTCACCTTCAGTTCCACAGCTGCTTGATGCCAAGGAGGGTAGCGCAGAAAGAATTATCACGGCTCGGGGTGGTAGAGGGCTCGATGGCGCGTCGAACCCGCTGTGCCGGGCTGGTCTTTACATTTGCCTGTTCCCTGGCGCTTTTTGCAGCATCTGCCTTCGTTGGCAGTTGGAAACTTCAAGCAAGAGCGCCCCCCTCCAGATTGGCTGCTGGGGCGACTGCCAGCCCAGCCGTCAAGCTTTACCAATTCGAGAGCTGCCCTTTCTGCAGCAAGGTCCGTGCATACTGTGACTACAATGGTGTGAAGCTCGATAAGATAGAGGTAAATCCTGTGACGAAAGCCCAAATTGATGGTGTGGCGGGTGACTACAAGAAGGTCCCCATTGCAGACGTTGATGGCGAGATCGTGACAGGATCAGCAGACATCATTCGAAAAATAGGTGCTGTCATCGGCAGCAGCGAGACAGAAGCTGACGCGGAGTGGGGCCAGTGGGTAGATTCGACACTGGTGAAGACCCTTCCGCCCAACATCTATCGCACTCCAGGCGAAGCCCTACAAATCGCCGGCAAGGTTGGCGACAGTTTTGACCCCGTCTCAGGCACGGTCGCCAAGTATTTCGGTGGTGCTGCCATGTTTTTCGTGGCCAAGAGCATGGCTAAAAAGGCCGGTATTGCCGAAGGTAAAGAAAGGGAAGCCTTGTACGAATCATGTGCGAAGTGGGCTTCGGCCTTGGGTGAAATGCCTTACTTGGCCGGAGAGAAGCCGGGAATGGCAGACCTAGAGGTCTTTGGAGTTCTTGCAAGTGTCGAGGGCACAGATACACATGCAGACATGCTGGCAAACACCGGCATTTCTTCTTGGTATAGCCGCATGAAGAAAGCCTGCGGACGAGACTAGGCCCGTGCTGCGTGCAGAAGTTCGCGCAGAAAGATTTGTAAAGACCTTTTATCGCCCCTTGCAAATAGCAGGAGAAGGGAAAAGCAGTGGATGTGCTAATATAGCTTCCAGAAATAACAGAGGTGCCCTTTTTGTTCGAGGAGAGAGCTGTCCTATCCGCAGGCATGTGCGGATCTTGCAGAACCACCGTGACGGTTTGCAGGAGGGCTTATGCACCTTAGCTTTCAGAGCTCGGGAAAGCTACTTCACTTCTGCACAACTACATTCGATCTCCTAGCCCTTTCAAGTATTTTGGCTCCTACGCAAACGGGACATCCCATAGAGGTGTCTCTACTGGTCCGTATTTGACTTCCGGCGGACTGCGCTGTCAAAACCCTGCAACATTAACATATGTAGGGGATTGGAGGGAAAGTTTAGGGCTTTAGGGCTTTAGG